TAGGACACTGGCCCATTGGAAACAGTACATCTGAAAAATTACCCCCATCTTGTGCCACCAAAGCTGTTAACTACCCTAGGGAATATACCTCATTTACAACACAGACAAATGTTAACTTTAATGAGTTTAAAAACTGCCATTTTTCTTGCATGACTTTGATAACACTTGAGATCTTAAGCAAATACTTGGCTATTTTTTCACCTGGAACACCATCTAACCAATATTACCACCACATTTGTTTTCAGCTGCCCTTGTCTTTCCCTCATTCAAGTCATAACACTGTGTGAAAGTGCAATTAAAAAGTACATCTGCTTCAAAACAATCTATTTTAACAAAGTGTTCCTGCCTGAAAACTTTGCATGCCAAGATTACTACTTGTCATTATCTTACCAAGAGATGAAGCACCTTTTTAAAAAGTATCTCTAATGAGATCTACAAATCTATGTGCAAGACAGCTTACTTTATTGTGTTTATAAAGATAAAAAAATATTTTAAACAGGTTGTGGCTCTTGGGACTGATAAAAACACAATGGGGTTACGGTCATTCAGAAATGTTAATAAAAGTTTTCATAAAATATGATGATGCTTAAGGACTAATGTTTGGGCATGAAAAATAACTATGAAAATATATTTCCTGCAACAGTAAACACTCAGTTTTTCTATACCTCCTTGACTCTCCAAATCCTGCATTTGTTCTGTTGGTGGACAATGTTTCTAGCTATTTGATTGTCCATCTGGGATGGTATTACTATACGCAGATGCAGCGTATTTGCCCAAACTTCACCCATTCTTTTACAAGTTTTATAGAAAGAGAACATTCACCTGCTTTGGCCATTAAACCCTTGTTTTAAGCACTTAATCTAACTGCCAGTGAACGACATCAAAAAAAAAGCTTTATCCTAATCATACAAAGGAAAACCTGTTCAAACCCTGCAAGAGTGATGGCCTTCTTTTCTCACAGCATAGTTTTCAAGACAAGAAATTCTGGGAAATATAGCAAAAATAGGTGACATTGTTGAAGGCAATCCTGCACCAGTTAAGTGTCACATTATGCTTATACTCCCTATCACCTTCCCTTCCTTTAGCCTGGTGTTCTGTTGCTCCATATAATTAGCCACAAACTGAAAGAAAATCCTTTTTTTTCAAGTAGAATTTCTTACACAAGTCAGCTTACCTTAATGAAATCAACATCAAATATTGGATTTTCATGTTCAGACATAGTACTGGGGAGAAAGCCAATACCCTCTTTATCTTTTATTTTCCCCACCTGTGACCAGCTTTTAAAACCAATAATTTACAAATACTTTCTGTTTACACAGAAAATAGGCCTTCAAGCATATAACTCCATTAATTGCAGGCTATCAACACCTATGTGTCTATTCAATAGAGACGTGTACTTTAGAGCGTAGGCACAATTTTGCCTCAAAATTTTTTTTTTTTTTGCACTTATGTTTTATGTATTTATATAATTAATGTTTAAGATTAATTTGATAGGTCAGGTAACACATTTTATCACATTAAAAACAATAAAATAAATGCAGAGATTTAAGAAAAATTTAGAGCACTAGCAACCAATTATCTTGTCAACCTTGTACACAAAAGATGAGATTCTCAAAGCTGATTCTGAAACTACTCTGTTCACCAACACATCAGTTTAAAATAAAATGGTAAATGCTGAATTAGTTTAAGATTCACAAAATTGATATTTCAAAACAAACTTAAGTCATGCAAAGTAATTATAATTTTTGGTTATGCAATTTATGTAATTTTCGGGGGGAGGAAGAAAACCTTAAATAAATTTAAAAACCAGGTATTGGACAAAAATACAAGAGGCTTGAGTTTAAAAAAACTGCAGTTCTTAACCTGGCTAATAATAAGGTGCACTTTTTAATTTATCAATATTTCTACAATTTAAATACCATTCTTTTGGCAAGATCACATACAAAATCTTTATTCTATGAAAAATAACACATCACTAATTTGAAGTGAACAGATCTAAGATTAGCTAGGCAAAAAACATTTATTCATTTCCTTCTAAAGAATCAGCAAAAATTTACCACAAAAATTAATACAGATATGTAATAAGCTTCATCAACCACAGACTCAAAAGTCAAGAAACACAGTTTATGGTGTAGCTTTCTTTTTTTCACACATCTTTTCAGAAAAAAAAAAAGAAGGACAAAAAAGTAAGCACTATAAAATATTAACACTTTGAATTAATCTCAAACATATTAGTAGTCAGCCGATAGCGACTGCATGTCATATTCCAATTACAAAGCCATTTAGTTGGTCTGCACATTTCTCTATAAATCCAGGTTTGATTCCCAAACTGAGATGTTTTATTTCTGTCCCTACACAGAAACCAGGTAACTACTGAAGGATCCATTTTACAGGAAAAGTCTGTAGGAATTACACTGATGGGGATGATTGGTTTTCCTGATTTATATTCTTTGTTTTTTCAGAAGGCAGAAAGCCCAAGGTGAGGATCCTTAGTTACTGTGCATCAGCTTTGCATCAAGCTACTTTGGTTTTTGCTAAAGAAATTGTGATGGTGAAGGACACCAAAAGAAATGGGGAAGAACAGCAGCAGCAATAGATTAGGAGAGCAAAAGCAGAGCAAACTATAGACTCCTATCATGGATAAGGTTTCATTACTACAGAGATCTCAGCACATCTAGATGTAAGATTTAGCAGACAAAAATAAGCACAAGCAGTATCATAGAGCTATGTCAAATCCATTTCAGGTTCCTTCTCTTTTCCCACTGGGAAGACAATCCTCAGCTACAAGGTTTTGTTGCCCTTCTCAAGCCATCACACTATGCAATCTCTGATACCCCAATTGTTTTAGAATACAAGCTAGAGCTCTGTACTGACAAAATTCTATGCCACCAAACTGTTATCAAACTCTAATACAAAACCAGCATCTGTATTTTGCACTGGGATCTATGTAAGGCCATATTCTGACAGTCAGGACACAGACCTGGAATGCATGAGCTATGCAAGACCATGTGCTTCCCTGCTATCACCTTATCCACAGACAGAGAAGCAGCCCCGACCAGCCTTTGCATACAGCCCTTGAAAGGGACATGGTGGACAATACTACTTTTGCTGGCCTTGTTCAGTCAGCCAACATGGAGCAGAGAAAGATGTTGTGAACCTTATTCCTGCCTCCCCCACCTCTTGGAGACCATCCATACTAATACCAGTTCTGGTTTCAAACAGCCTTTGCCCTCGGGGATTGTAAAAACAAAGATGAAAAACAATGCTATTCAGAGCAAACATTGTGAAGGCTACTCACAGTTGTTTCTTACAGGTACTGCAGTAGTTGTCTGAACCTTTTTGTTTCACTGTAAGTTCACAGAAGGAAAGACTTTGCACATTTCTTATTCTTTAAAAAATTACAAAGAAGTACCTAAAGCAGTATAGCAAATTCAAAGCCACAACTTCATCTGGGTGTTGTATGTCCATCTGCATTAGTTTGTGGCCAGGTACAATTTAAAGCAACATCAGCTCAAAATTACACTAGTTGCCAACAATTCCCAGATAATGTTAGTGGAGGCCACTCCCAGACATGCATTATCTAACCACTGCACAGGAATCAGAGTGATATAACAGAATCGTGTAGAGGCTGAATCCAGCAGCTTTAGGAGAGCTCAGTGCAAAGCTTCTGTAACAAACCAAGGATTGGAGCCCCTGTATCACCCCTATATCACCACACCACAGAGATGTCCTATTTATATGAACTGCTCAATGATAATCTAATTTTTTCTCATTTCCAAATATTTCTCAGTCCTATGTGTGTATTTCTTCTAGTCTTTTGTTTAAGATATCATGTATACATGCAGTGTCACCTAGCTTCCTTCGCCTCTGACAAAGCCGGCCAGGATGTAAATAATACAGAGACATACACTCGCAATACGTGCTTACGCAGCTGAACAGACATGGCAGTAAGCGCAAGATAGGCTTTTGTTTCTAGAACCCATGCCAGAGGTTTGAAACTGCCCCCAGTACACAACAGTGTTGTTTTTCAAATGTAATTACATATTATTTCAGTGCTTGAAAGGATTTTTATGCTCTGTAACAAAAGACTGAGACATAGAAAGAACTGGAGATTACTGTTAGCCTAAAGATTTATAAAAAGCAGAAATAAAAACTTCATGAAATGAAGTTTCTATTATAAGCTTTAAGTCATTAATAAATTAACAGGATTTACTAGTTGAAATAGATCCCTATAAGCATCTGGTATCTTCTTTTATCCAATACTCAACTAGTAAAAGCAGAATAAAAACGTTATATACTAGTTTTGCTTGGATGAGAGAACAGCTGTTTGATGTTCTGGTTTATGAAAGCGGCCAAGAAAGAGTGTATTTGTTGTGCAATTAATTGGTCCAAATTAAGCACATACTGTTTTTCCAACTTATGGCAGGAATCTATGTGATTTAATAAATATGATAAATAGCTTGTGAGAATAACAAAGGATGATTCTGGGCCACCCCTGTAGTGCACAGACTGTCAGCAGAGTTTGGGTAACTATCATTTCAGCAGTAGAATCTGGTAGAGAGAAAATCTGAAACGTTATCTTGGCTTAAAAGCGAATCAGCTAGCAAACATTCTGTAAAAAACCTTTCCTCTAAAACAGCAAACTGAACCAAAGGAAGCATCTTTACCTCTTGAAAAAAAAAAAAAAAACACAACAATTGGCTGTCCAATAACACCACATTTTAATTTGTAATATTTAAATTGGTAATGAGGAAGGTGTTTTGTCTGAATTTCCATTTCTTTCAGGGCCTAATTATGAAAGACAGAAAAAAAAATGTGCTATGCACTCTCTTTCACATCTCATTACATTTATTCAGCTTTATTACTAATTCTTTGTTAATATAATTTTCACCCTGGGAACTACATTTTTTGTCTAGTTACCCTGATACATGAAACCCTTAAAGCAGGAAGTCCTTGATCACCACATCATATTTCTCATGGTATTTTAAAATGACACTCACCATATTGTAAGAAGTAGGTTCTATCAGCAGGCTGCTCTCTGGAGGTGTTCTTTCTCTCTCTCTCTCAGGTGCTTTAAAGAAGTTTTATCTAGCTTGGTGGCCTAGAGAGACGGGGATCAGAAAGAGAATTGAAATGCTCACATAGGTGTACAATCCATCCCTTCCCACCTTAGGTTTTGCTGTGGTACACTGTACATTAGCAGCATGGCATGGCAAATTAAATGATGTGACAGCAAACTCTAACCCCCAGTCTCTTAATCCTGCCACTTGTTAGAGATGGAAACCAAAGCAGCATTTACAGTGCCTCATCTACAGTTAGTTTATGCAAGTTCAGTAAGCAGGTCCCTTAAGGAGCTAAAGAGGAAAACTGCAGCAAATGTGCATGCACTCACAATGAAATCCCAGCCCAGAGGACAAGCGCTGTAATCCCACCAATGATGTTCCAAACCCATGATGGCTACCAGCCGACAATACCCACAGACCTCAATCCATTTTTATTGTATTCAGGCTGCAGTGTTATATTTCCTGCCTCCCCTTAGCACCACACATACAGTGTACTTGAAAACAAAAATCTATAATATTGATCCCACAATGTCACCACAATTATTCTTTTGAAACAGCCATTGAAAACAAATTACATCTGCACTGCCTTTTCATCCGATTGCTCTGGGTGAGCAATGCTCACTGTAGCCGCTAGCATTTTCAGTGTTAGCACTGTGTCACTAAAGACAGCACAGGAAAAGGGGGGAAAAAAAAAATCAGGGAAAAAAAGAAAGCATCAGTAATACATTCATAAAGGCAGCTGGAGGAGGAGGAAGCCATCAAATTAACCAGATCACAAAAAGCCCCTCTAACCTGGTGCAACACTTAAGTCTCTTAGTTTTCTGTATGCAAATCAGGATGATACTAGAACAGTACAGCAGCCAGTTTTCCCTCCAATGGCTCCTAAGGTTGGCTTTTTCCTGCCCAGTAAGCCAGGTATAGTTGTTACACTAATTACATTGACAAAGATTCAGAGGGTCTTATTTTCAGGTAGTCTGTTTAATACCTTGTGATGACAAAAAGCATTATTTGAAGCAACATGATTTTAACCTCATGTAACATAATTCTATTGACAAACTGGAAGACTTTCTTGACAAGGGAGAAGTGATTAACACAGAAGTGATGACTGCAGAACAAACCCACCCATTCAGATTAAAACAGTGACATGACGAAGCTCAAAGGAATCTGTCCAGAAGAAGCAGAGGCCTTTTGACACAAATAGGAATATGCAGACAAGGCGGGGGGGGGGGGGGGGGGGGGGAGGAGCGGGGGAGCAAGCCCACCTTCTTTCATTCCAGTACTTCTACATTTTTATCCCACTAATGGTTTTACTCACAAATATGAATCACCATATCAGTGAAAATGTAGCGACTCCCACAGCACACAAAAACCAGCATAATTTCATAGAGAAAACCCTGTCAGCAAATGCTAACTTTCATTGCTCACTAATGGTCTGGTTTGGAAACATATATACCTCATCAACTATTTATTTTTTTGCCATAATGGTGGTTGGCCAAGGGAAAGTGCTTTTGTTAAGTTGTGACCACACAAGTCACAGTGGTGGGTTCCTGCAGTGGGGAAACGATAACTTTGGAGTATTAAGAAAACCAATAGCCTTGTTGACATGAACATGGGAGTCTAACCCCTGAAGCCTCCTGATATGAAGCATTGATTTTTCTGTCTGGGTACAGTTCTAAAGCCATTCATTCTCTATGGTCAGGACTCACAGGGCCAGAGGAGGAAGAAAAAAAGGAAAAAAAAAATCTCTTCTTTCCACTTTTACCTCCAGGCAAAGTTGAGGAATAAAATTCTACATTTTGAGGGATGATTTGTTCAAGCCATGTTTAGTAGAAGCTTATTGCATAAAAAAAAATTTGTTTCCTTGACCCTTGCAACCTGTGACCACTTATTCTTTTGTGCACCTTCTTCACAAGATAACAGCAGGGGGAAGTGCCTAGAGAAAGCGCCCCTGCTTACTTGTTATTCTCCAAATAATATCACCAAGCTTATTTATTATTCCTCAAATAATACTGTCATGTTCACTTGTCATTCCTCAAATACCGCTGCCAGCTGACTTGTTATTTCTCAAATGCTTCCATGCCTACTCGTTATTCCGCCTCATGTAATTACTACATCCCTTACTTGTTATTCCTCCTCATATACTACCGCTGGGCTGCACTTGGTTATTGCTCATGTACTACTGCTATGCCTCTTTGCTATTTCTTCTTTACCACTTCTTCGACATGTTGTACCTTTTTGAAAGGGGAAACAATATTATCATCTGGTATATTTTTGCAACCCATATGCTGACTCCCTGTTTCCTCTGCACCCCTGTTGTGTTCATTTAGTAGCTCTTGTAAATCCGCACTGAAAGACACCAAACCCTCTTGTGTAAGAAATAACAGCTCCACAGTTTGGAGCGAGAGCAATACGTTCCATTGTCTTTAAAAAAAAAAAAAAAAGAAAAAATTAAAAAAAAAAGGAGAGAAATAAAATTAAATTAAAAAAAAAGAAAATTGAAGAGATGATAGAATAATCACCAGTTTCTCCCTCCCCACCAGGTCACAGTAGGCAACCACACAATGGGATGGTTCCTGCTCTGGTGACAGAATGCTGAGCCAGTTTTTGCTGTTTGTCTCTTCTTTTCAAAGAAACAAAGAGACAGCATTAGACAGAAGATGCCAGTGTTACCGAAGGCTAATGTTTGGACACAGAACCTGCTCTCTCCTTCAGCTGGCAACTATTTAATTGATTTTTTTATGTAAGTAAATATTCAAATGCAATAACACACAATCATCTCTAAGGGAGGCATAAAATATCAGTGTCCACAAAGAGGCTGTCATCTTTACCTAGGTGTATATGTACATACATACACACCAAAAATATGAAAATAAACACCTCTGAATACTGATCTTTATAAATCTCTGATAAAGTACACATTCTTACATGAGCACGATGATTTTTACCAATATATGTCTCTACACATGTACACAGATTAATCCTAGACAATCTCCTGTGTTACTATTGCAGAAGTATGCTTATATTATGTTACAGTATTAATATGTTTGTATATTTATTATTAAAATACTTACTGTTCTGCCTTTTGAAGTAGATGGACAAATGATTTAGGAGTAGAAATAGACTAGAAACAAAATTAATGCAAATAATGTGTTGCTTTTTTTTTTTTTTTAGCTTGATTAGCCAAGCCAATGGAAAATTCTAGAAAACGTATACAATTATTTTAACTGTCATAGACTGGCAATTGTAATTGACATGATTTGTATGAGATGCAGTGTAATAACTGAATATATTAAAAAAAAATCTCATGGCTTGATTACCAGGAGAACATTACTAGTGCCACAATATTATTAACAACACAATTATCATGGCATCCCTAGGACACGCTCTTAGCACTTCAATGCATTAGCGAACCTTTGCTAACGAAGAAAAAATTAAAGTACCGCAAATTTCAAAGCACCAGTTGTACCCAACATCATTAAAAATTTATAAAACTTCCCCTGAACATGACAAGTGTTTGGTTTAAATGAAGATCAGCCACAAGAAGGAGCAGAAATCTTGTTATTCTTTGTCTCTTTCTCTCCCTCTTTTTCTCTTTCTCTCTTTCTCTCAGACCTCCCCCAACCACCACCACCTCAATCCAGCTGAAATATGTAACCATTACAGAGTGACAGTTTGACACACAATGACCTGTCAGAACATTCATCTCTCAATGTTTTATTTTAGTGAGGAGCCAAACTGCAGAAAAAATAAGCAAGTTGTTTCAAGGCTTGGAATGAGATCAAACATTTCTGGCATCCCCACTTACCAGACCTTTGATTTACAATGGATCTGTCAGAGGCTGATTAGACAGTGTGTGTTTAAAAACCTATAGATGTTCCACAATTGCACAAGCTCTCCCCTTCCCTTTACAAAGAGCATTTCTGCTCTTTGTTTGAATGGGGAGAATAAGCCAGGTTACATTGCAGCACCCTACACCTTGCAAGTGGAAAACACCACATGCAAAACTGCAGGCAGCTGCAATTAAACCTTTGAGGTAGGAGTGTTCTGATTCTCTACTAAAAGAAAGCTGTAGCTCTTCGTTCTCTGCAATATTCGTTATGCCAATTTCTATTACCTTTTCCTTCCAGGCCTAAAGTTATAATGGTCTGCAGAGAAAATATAGGTAGGAAATGCTGCAATCTCCGCATATTTTCAATAATGTTCAAAGGCAACATGCAGCTAAAAATTAAACAGAGAAGTGCAGGTGGCTAAAATATTCCCACACTGCAACATTTTTTTTGCTCATAATTGCAACTAGTGAAAAAAAGGTTAGAAATATATTGTTTCTATTTGTACTTGGAACAGTTGCAGAAAGAGCAGCAGGATTTGTGCCTGGCATTAGAATGTGTAATTCCTTAATACTATATTGTGGCATATGGTTCATTGTAGCAAATTATGAATACATGTGTTTGGAGAGCTTTGGTAGTAAATTTGGGCTTTGTACATCTACAACAATGCCCAAATCTGACAAACGTAATTTATGTAATATTAAGTTAATACAGTATTATGAAATTAGCTCACTGTAGTAAAGCTGTAATTTTTAAATGAAAGACAATACTGTGAAATGAAAACAAAATAAACATTAGCATTTTGTGAAAGGTAGAACAAATCTTCCAAAAGTCTGCTTTGTAATTTATTACAATGCAGTGTTTATGACTTCCAATATATTTAAGACATGGCATCCTTTAACAGTATAGTACAACTACAATGCTGTTCAGAACGATCCCAATCTTTCAACCTCTCTCAGGCAATGCTCACAATTAATTTAAGAGAGACTTTTGAATGAATACTACCTCTAACTAAGGCAGCAGCAAGTTGGAATTCTGGGATCTGGTCCCCAGGATGCTCCTAGTGGGTTGGACAATGTATTTGCTCCATGTGGTAAATTCTGATCAAGGCGACAAGGCTGTAGGAACATAGACTAATTCTGTGTGTGTGAGACTATTCTAGATACACAATTACATTTTTCATACCCATATATGTTACCATGAAGAGGGAA